TATTTCCGATACAGATGAAATGATTGGTAATTTGCGAATTAACTCAAAGTATGCGAAACGGAGTAGGAATAATATACGATCGTTGCATGCAAAAACGAGGTAAATACCTTCCGTATTCCATAAAAACTCCGTTACTCTGAATGAAAATCATATTCGCACGATCGCCGCATTGATTCGATTAATTTCCTTGTTGCCTCGGTGAGCTATCGCAATCATTCTTTAAACGTTACTTTATCGTAATTGCTTTCAATCCTCCTACCATCTTGGTTTACGAAGATGCAGGAAACGGGTGTAAGCAGCCGGCGAATTTCCAGGCACCTGGTGAAGATGCTGGAATTGGTTCTCGAGTAGCTGGTCCGTGATTTTGAAGAACCAACGTCCGACGCAAGAAATAAAGGAAAAAGAAAGAAGAAGAAAAAAAATAGAAAGAGGGAATAGGAAGCTACGAAATCTGGCAGAAGAAAGACGCTGAAGGGAAATGGTAGAAGGGGTTGATGATGGCTAGGTAAGAATCTCTCTACTTTCTAAACGGCTGTTCCACCGCTGGTATGCGGAAGGGTTGAAGCTAACCTGGACTCTTTTTTTCATCAAAACTTTTTTTGATCCCCTACCCTCGACGCGATGGGGCGGTTACGAGGGTCCCGTTAGGTCAGCTCGCCAGCAAGCTGCCCCTGGAGGTGTGTGGTGGCGATGCAGTTGCGGCATTTCCCCCTTCTTTTTTCTTTCCTCTTTGTTGTCCCGCTCACGCTTCTTCTTCGCCTGCTTCCTTGAAACCCTCGTCTAACTGTGATCCGTGTAATCTACGCGCAGCTTCCGCGTTTCGAGGGCCTGTCTGGTTTTCTCACGAGTGCTACGTTTGGGAAACCTTCTGGTTCTATTTTTTCATTCAGTTGGGAGTGGACGCCGTTTTTTGGGAATTAATTCGGATACGATATTTCCCAGGAAAAATATGGAGAATAAGCGTGTGAAAGGGACGATGGCACAATAATAAAACCGAACCTTCAACCTTACCTGTACGAAACTTAAACCTGATTTTATTTCAGTTTAAACAACAACGTCGTAAAACACTATTTCACATAATTGTAGTAAAAACACTCGTCTTAAACAACTGTCCCTCGTATTTTCTACTGCTTTATGCATAATGGTAATTGCTGTCATTAGCCCTAATCCTCGACGTCGACGAACAACTGTGTATCAATAAACTGCTTCAACGTAAACCTACCCCTTGTTAAGTCTCAGTAAAAAGCATTGTCCTTTAGATATTATTTTAAAAATCTACAATACGAATTGGTCTGTTTACGACACTGTCGTTAAATTAATCAATATTGCCGGGGTTCAATTCTTATGTTTAAGAATAATGAAATAGGCGACGAGTTTCCGCAACAGAAGGCTCCTTGCGCATTCGATTGTCTTGGAAGCAAACAAAACTTCATGTTTTCAGCTGTCAGCGGGGCCCAGAAATTGTAAATATGGTAAAACGTACTTGGTAAGAAGATATTGAATTGTGGAAAGGTTCGACTACTTAGGTACCTTTTTCGTGGTAGATTCTTTAGTTGCTAGTTAGATAATTGGTTGCAGGGCGTCATGATTATTACAACACCGTGAATTTTGGAAATGGTGAAGTTTGGAAATTTCTCCAATTGTGAATCATATACTATGGTATGCAGGCTTGAAAAAAATTAACTGTTCATATTTCGCTTGTTTTTCTCAGCTGCAGATACGATTACTAGATGCGATCATTTTCATAATGCGCTCACCTTTCCATTTCTCCACGGTATCAGAATAGTATTAATCGATCGTTCCCTGCTGTTATTATCGCAGGTAGAAAAGAAAATCAAAAGTGAATTGGACAATAGGATATTTTTGAAAGTGTATAAAAGTCTTTCTTGAAGAACATGACTGAGAGCAACAAAGATACAGGCTTTAGGAGGAGCAAGATCCTGGTTTACACGGGGGCGATTCTTTTCTCGGGTTTATCACCTCGTTCCGGTGCCAAACGAGGAGAACTGGAACCGCTGCGGAATGCTAAGCGTCGAAAGTCGATATTCTGCAGAATGCAACGCGGAAAGCAAGAAAGAAAAAATAGAAGGAGCAGAAGCAGAGGCGACAGCGCGTGTCTGGACGCATAAAATTTGCCTTCCTCGAAAAAAGGACAGGAGAAAAAGAAACAATCAATGGTCGAATAGAAATGGACGACGCAAGGTCGCGAACCGTAATTCTGTCGTCGTTTTGCAAATTTCCGCCGTCTTTTCTTTTTCGTATTTATGCGTTTACGGTGCACCTCGCTGCGCTCTTCGAGGTCACGGATTTGTCTTTTTTCTTGAACAGGGTCCCCTAACGGGATCGCGAAAAATTGGAACCTACCTGGGACCGTTAAAAATAACGCTGCCGCTTCTTTCTTCCCTCCCCGACCTTCTTCTTTCTTGACACGTACGCAAAACAGGCGAGAATTTTCGTAGACAATTGGAAGCTTCGCTTCTAAAGCGATCGACTTTAACTATCTCGGGAAGGCTGTTCGAATTTTCTTCTCATTGTCTCGCAATTGAACACGGCACAAGAACATTCACGAGAAACGCCAGTTCCTGAATCGTTGCTCGGAAAAACGCAGCCATTTCTTGCCGGAAGTCAAGGACGGGGCCTCGACTTTGCTCGTTAGAATGCTACTTATTCTTTTATTATTTTTTATTGTCCAATGGTAAACGAAACGGCCGATCCAAGTAAATAAGGTACATTCTTTATTCCAATTTCTCTGACTTTTAAATCGAGTTACGTTTGATGAAACATTCGTACAGAAGCGTGGTTAGAACGAACGAATCAAGATCAGAGACAATTTCAATTTGTCATTCGTTAAACACGGACTAAACTTTTCCCCCGAATCCGTGTCACTAACAATGAGGCCAGGGCCGAAACAAAAGCAGGGTGTCATTTGGTGGCGGCGAAAAGCTGCGAAAGGATCAGGTTCGGCCAGTGGCGAAATAACCCGATACGTTATGTCAGCGCGGGCAAAGGTGCATCTCGCATATCCGGGGTATACCTCGGTTCGCCGCGTCCACACCGTCAGGGTCGAGGGAAAGAGAGCCGGGAGTTGGCCGGGTGTTGGTGGTGGGGGCAGCAAGACGAAGGGGAAGGAGGCAACCCGAGAAGAGAACCCAGTAACCTAGTGCCGAGTCGCCTGGAGGTCTGCAAAAACAAAAGAGAGAAGAGAGTGCGTGCCACGTGCCCCGGTGCGCCGCCGATCGGCGATCCCTTGCGATTAGTCGCGGTGCCCGTAAAAATTACCCCTTTCGCGCCTCCATGCGATTTTATCGGGCAACAAGGGTGGCCCACGGCAACCGCCAGCGCCACGTGCTCGAGATTTAGCGATTCTTTTCGCCGATACGCTGCCTTTTCAGCTCGTTCGTCTACTCTGCCTTCCTCGACATCGATGCCGAGATCGAGTCATAATTAAGCTTCGAAAGGTTTATCGTTGATACGATACGATCGCTGATTTATTGCTAATACGATATAATTATCGATTAGGGTTATATTCGAGATGGATGATTAAGTACTATTTTAGAGGGTATGGAAATATTCTTTTTTTGTAAAGTATCGATAAAGGAAGGAAAGAAGAAATGTACCCCGTTTAGAAATGACTCAATCGCGATAGAGCGTGATCAGCGAAAATATTTCCATCTCGAAGGCCAGCTAGAGGCGCGCAGGAAGCGGTCGCGAAGAGAAAAAGTGGCAGGAGGAAAGAGGAAAGCAACAACGACGTTTGATCGGTCGTCGCGTTTCTTTCTCCTTTTCTACCCTCTCGTAGTTTATTATACAAGAAAACGAGGAGAAACAAGGTGTAAACGATAAGGAAAGAGATACACTATTTTCTTTATCTAGGATGGTAAAGAAGTAAAATAACCCAAGGGTGCGCTTCCATGGACGATGAACTGACTGTATCGCAGGCTCGTTGCTAATTAACCGAACGATAGATTGGATATTAGCAGCGAAAATGGTGAACACGGTCTTCCTGGCGTAACCTCCGGTAACAAACTTATCGATCTATCGATCGTTGCGTTCCACAGAAAGGTCACGAGGATCATGACGGGGAAACATACACGTTGGCACGTGTTCACATGTGCTCAATGCGCGACAAAACTGCATATTCCAGGATTCCACGCGAATGATTACCGCAACTTCAGCAATCTATATCAACGTTAAACATAGGAAGCCTCCCGCTTTCCTTTCACTTAACTTTTACTTCAAACTTCATGGTCCTATGAAACTAAATTACGATTTTATCGCGTTACGTAGAACTTTACCAGAACCATTTCTCGGTAGACTTCCGCCCGACCCATTCCTCGCGATTCGACCCCGAACAGAAAAATACGAAAAAAGAAAAATATATATATATATTACTCGTATTTTTTTTTTTTTTTATATGGATATGTGTGTATAGAATCTGTGTGCAGCGAGCCCGTCTCTATTTCTCTCGCTCGAACCCGCATTCGTACTGCACTCTTTTCTCTCGCGCTTTGTCGATGCATTCGGCTATCTCTCCTTTCTCTCGCCGTAACTACATACAACGCAAACCTTCCGATTTCCTCTCTCCGTCTTTCTCTCCTCGGCTTGCCGCTTCTTCTCGCTTCGCTTCTCTGTTTTACAACGTGCGATCGCGATCCGTACCGAGCGGAGCAGGAAGAGGAGAGGCGAGGAGAGGAGGACATCCAAGTGGAACGTCCAGGTCCGAGGAGAGATCGTTAACGCGGCTGGAACAATCGAACGTAACGTTAATCGCGATCGAGGTGAAAATAACGTAATATCATTGATAACGACGCTACTTGTAAAGATAATATTAACACAACGTCGCTCCAATAGATACAATTAAGGTGTATCAAGCAAATAACGGGCTTCAACGATCGTACGAGATGCAGAAACTGACAAAAAGGAAAACAAGAAAAAAATTATTTAAAATTTGTCGAGTGTATAAACTGGGTTTATAAACTCTGGAACATTGTGTACTGATATTTCAGTAGGTAATTTATTATATTTGCGTTTCATTTAGCCATTGCTCGAGGCAATTAAGGAATCACTGCTATAAACGGGTTTATTGCATCAACCAAGCAAACAGAGGTAATGGAGTTCTATACGCTCGATAGATTGACATGTTATTTATGCGATACTGTTATAAAAAAAAAAGTGGCTTCGAGAGAATAATCAAAGATTACGGATCAAATTTGACGTCAAAATCGTTTAATTTTAAATTCATAATCATAAAATTCATAATCATAAATTGTAGGTTCGATTCGATATCAAAAGTTTATAATTTTATATTCTGCAAAGCATACAGAGTTTCTACCATCCGTGCCATAAATCCATTAATCGTATATAGCAGGTCGAATTCGACACCAAAGTTTCTTCCGATTCTTTGTATAATTCCGTTCCGCCGCAAGAGAATCATCTTCACGGATGATCACGGTAACTAAACGTCGTAGTCGAGACGAAGTTCGGAACAATGACAATAGTCGCCACTCGGTGGAAACGTCAACGATCGGGATCGTGGGACGGGCCCGCGAAAAACCGCGACGTGTGCGCGTGGAATGCAAAGCGCGCGGCGTGTTCGTGGCTGAAAACGCGCGGATCGCGCGCGTTACAACGCCGAGGATGGAAAGAAGTTATGTGTAACAATGCACGCGGCCGCACAGTAACTGCTTCCTGACGACCACAGACAGAGAGAAAGGTGGAAAGAAAGAGACAGTGTCAGGGGGAAAAGGGAGAAGGAGAGAGGCGGTAAGAGAGAAAACCGCGCTCCTGTTGGCCGGCCGTCGTGCTTTGAGGCGCATTCTCTCTCGCGTGCAGCTCGTACGAACACGTAGCGCGAGCGCGAGTAGAGGAACGGGTCAACGAACACTCGTGTGCGCAATTTCAACGAAAAATAGGCAATCGAAGAATCCTTTTTTTGTTCTTTCCCTTTTCTTCTCGATTCTTTACTTCGTTCGTCGAGCCTCGTTCGTTTTCGGTACGTTCGACTCACTGGTGACCGTGTACCATTGTGCTCGAAAACTTTGGTCGTCAAGATATCCGATAACGATCGCTATTCCCCGATGATAGTTTCTTAAACTCGTTAGATGCCAGAGATTTTCTCATAGGTAGGAGGCAAAACAGGATAAGAGAAGACACAGTCGGTTGTTGTTTGGTTCATAATAAATATATTCTAGAGAGAATAGGATAAGAATAATTTCGTAATATAAGGGTCGAAGAGAGAACAGATTGTTGCCATTTTTCTTTGTCCGCTAGTATCGTAGAGTTTCATGATCGATCAACCAGGTCACCAGCGATCTCGAAAACGCGAAACTCAATAGTATTGGAATCGTTCGCTATAATTGAGGGACAACATGTATTTTTCCAATGGCCGTGTTTACGTCTCGTAACGGCTATATCGGCGAATAAGTAGTATACTGGTAGCGCGTAATTGCAGTGTAACAGGCGACGATATAGTGGCGGTAGTAATAGCGGTGGTAGCAGTAACATACGGAAAGAACAACATTTTTCATTGAATTTACTAAAACGTGCTTGGCCACGTTCTACTCTGCTTTTAAATGCAATCAGACTGGATACACGTTACCCGCCGAACAAGCCGACGAACGTTTAGTAAATTCAACTGGATACACGTTTAGTCCTGGTGTTTGTACGGCCAGTGTATGCTTCTCTGTGTGTGTGTATGTGTGTGTAAGTACGTCGCGTGTACTTGAACGCGTCTGTTGGTGTATCTGTATGTGTGGGTATGTAGTGTGTCTTTACAGTAACCAAGTAACTATCGGAGAGTAATGACAACAATTTTCCAGCGGTAGCAGAGATACGGGATGCGGAAGTTCGCAGTCATTGTGTTTTAGGATCCTTCGTCCGCACCTACGTTTTCATACATGTACATATTTATATTATATATATTTATATTATTTATAACGGTGCCTTAGTGCCCCTTAATATTACGATTTAAATAATTATAATAATAGTAATAAAAAAAATAGTAACATTTTCAAGGTCGCCTGCGCTATAAATGAAAGGGCGGTTGAAAGTTAAACGAACGCGCGTCGAAACGGACAACCCTGCAGACCGCCGGGTGCAACGGCGAGATTCGACGGTTTAAACGCATCCAGTCCTCGCGCTCACTTGCTTGCTCGACAAACGACGAACGAAGAGCAGCAGCGACTAGGTGACTGATGTCCATGGCAGTGCGAAGCTTCCATTCTTGTGTTCCTTGCTTCTATCGAGGGGCATGGATCGCGGTCGCGAGCTAGGTTCGATCGCGCAACGATCCGGATTCCTCGGACGGCAGTGACGTTGTTGCTGGTCTCTCTGCAAAAGAAGAGAAAACGTACCGTTGTTACTTCCACATGTTTTGTACGCGTTTCGTAGAATTTCATAGAATTGTAGTACATTTAAAAGAGAATGGACAGGTGCCGATATCATTAACATAGTTATATTTGTATCGTTGGACGATTAGAAGAAAGGAAAATCAGCGCGGAGCGAAATCGCGCAGTGAGAGTGGTTATGGGATGTCATGAGGGCGCGGTGGGTGAGGTGAACCAGCAGAACGAGGGAGCGAGTCATAGAAGCGGAATATCCTGATCCTAGCGAAGGTCGTCTGGTGCATTCTAGGCGGGTAAAAACTGCATAAGAAACCACGCCCTGGCTGGAGCCGCGATCCTCAGGGACGCGTGACCTCCACGTGGAATCGACACCCCTCCTTTCAAGCCCATTCCATACGTTTAATAACGCCTATATATCTTTACACGTAGATAAAATCAGCCAGTTATCACCGAAAACATACAAGACGATGTAAACGTCAGCTGACAACTGCTGAAGCATTTCGCTTGCTTTCGAAACACTTGGAACGATAAAAGGCGCGCGAGTTCTATGTACTTACATATACACAGGGCTGCGGAACAGAGAGACGAGTGACGCGTTACCGGCTACCTACGTTCTACCTACTTCACCCACCTACCTAGCAACCTAGTTGTCTGTGCCGTTTATTCGCGAACGGTGTGCGCGTTTTATTGCTAATCGATACAATATATCTTCCGGCGTCCAGTTGCGAACCAGCTGCGCGAACCGTGTCGAACGGCCTTCGCGACGATTTCGCCGAGGTCGCGACGCCAGAACTCTGTCTTTTTGTCCATTCGATCTGCGCATGGATCGGATTCGTAGAAACGGTCATAGGAAAAGATACCGTGAGTAATCCTGAGAGCTAACGATTCTCTCGCCTTAGGCAATTTACTAACAACGATCTTACGGCAATGAAGATGAAGAAAGGAAATGGAGCGAGTTCACGTTCACGCGGAACAATCGATCGTATCGAGGAACTCATAGAGTTCGCTGGATAGAACGTGAAATGTGACTACGTTAGAGGAACAAATGGAAGTGGAAGATGAAACGATAGACGGCTCTCTCTTTCGAGAGAGAGGTTTCACTTGCACTTTCCACTGGGGGCCATTTCTGGGCCAAGTTCATCCGAAAACGTTACTTGTAGGGATCGTCCCCTTTTTTCTCGCCACGGAGAAAGCGCCTAGGCCAAGATCGTTTCATGGGGGAGAAAGAGAAAACGAGAACGATGTCGTGAAACGCCACTCTCTCCCTCTTCGACGGCGGCAGCCGCGTGTAGAAGTGTATCCAACCGGGTGGTGGTGTGCGAGGACGAGTGCGAGAGAGGAACGGAACGAATGGCCACACGCTCCGGGTCCAGTGGAAAAATAAAACTAGGCAGACCAGAGAAGTCCGTTAGACCGCCTCCGCCGTCTCTGTTCGCTCCATCGTGTCCGCGTGCGCGTTGCGCCTCCTTCTCGAGAGGGAGGTATGCACGTTGGAGAAAGAACGAGTGAGAAGACCTAACCTAAGCCACCAGGAGAGTCCGTGTGCTTCGGGCACGGCGCTGCAGTTCGCCCCTGAACTTGGTTCTCCGTCTTGCCCACACGACGTTGACCTACTTCCATGGCCTACCCGATATCTCGATCGTTCTATGCCCGCGAATACGCCGCCGATTTTCCCCATACGAGCTCATTTCTCCTCTTCGTTATGTTGATTAGCTACTATGCATTTTACCGATGTCTCAATGCTTAGGTTTGTAGGTGTTGTTTCGTTAAAGCTTTATTTTATGTTGCGAAGACAATTTATTGAAAAAATATGAAAGACATTGTATGTCTAGATCTTCGTACCGACTAATGTAGATTTAATAGTAGTTTCGTAACAGAAGTTAATTCCTAGCAGATTGAAAGCCAATCAACATCGAGTGTGAGATCGTTAATCCACGATCTAATCGAAAGGTGTCATTCGTTCTATCCGCAGTTAACGATCTCCCGTTCGAAGGCAACGAGTCAAGGTCCCTTAACTATCGTCCGTCCCTCATTTTCTTAACTTAATTTGCCCTACGTATTGAATTAACGGAACTATAAAAAAATTTATGTACAATAAAAAATAAATAGAAGGATAATCAAAGTTTCGGATATTTTTACTAAAGATTGGAAATTAAAGCGAAACAAAATTCCTATACGTTAGCTTATTATATAAATTTATATGTTTTCGCAAGCGTTTTGTTTTTTACATTTATCGCATCGTCTCAAATTTATATAAAAAACGAACGAAGGTTGAAATTCTCGTTTCAAAATCGACGAGACATTAACACTACGTGTTTTGGATTATAAAACGAATGGCTGACAATCGGTTCCCGATGCCGGTAACATTCAACAGGCTGTTTGCATATTCAAAGTGCGAGGAAGTAAAGTTGCACGAGCTGCGGGACGATGAATCTCGCGTTCCAACGTGACATCTCGATCTCCTTGGGCCTTATCTGCCGACTGAATTTCCTGCTCGGGAACGATCGAGGTGGCCGCAACGCCTGCTTGCCTCATATATTATTATTAGAGCGGCGTCTCGGGGGCGTTATCCGTTATCTCGCGTGTTATCTGTTGGCCGTAAGTTAAATGAGCTGCCGTGATAATGAGCTGTGCATGCGGTCTGTGTCCCGGTCGCCAGAGAAAATCGAGGACCCTGCAGATTACCGTACAGGGACTATCGATATTGTGTGTACATATGTAGCGAGCAGAGGGCTGATCAACCTGTGCCGGACTCATTGGTTAAGACACACGGCAATGCACAAGTACCCGGATAATCATTAGTTTATATAACAAGTCATTTCCCGCGGCCACGTGATTTTCTCGTCAAGGCGAGCCGCTCACCACCACTCTGGCACCGTTCTACGCGACACACCGCTACTTCTCTGCCACCATAGGTCAGCACCACCACGCGATCACTTCGTATACCTAGCTACCGACTACCGACGGAAAGAGAGAAGTTCGACCACATTGACCAACACTCGCTTCGATTCTCTTTTCTTCCTTTCTTTTTTATTTTATACTTTTCTGTTTTTTCTTCCTTGCCTGGATGGTTGTTTGGTTCTTCTCGAACGATCAGATTTCTTAAAAAATTTCCCTCTTGAAACAAAAATAGTTTAATCTCGGGCAGCCCGGAGCAACATGGTCCAGGGATTTTATTAGAAAGGAGCAAGATTATGCGGATGAGTCACGTACAATTAGGTAGAAGAGGATTTTACTACCGGCCGAAGGAAATTCCTGCGGCTGTTCCTACCTTGTTATACGTCCGCCAGCACGGCGTCCGTAGCACGGAAAAGAAGATGAGCCCGAATCTGAATAAATAGGATGAATCCAAATCCGCGTAAATAGGACGAACTCGAAACAATTCTTGGCCGTGATCCAGAAATCAAGAGAAGCTATTGCGACGAAAACAAAATTTCGTTAAAACGACGACAGCTGTGATCCGATTTCAAAATACGCTACCTATTCCACAAGAATAAACGAACTGCGGTTTTAAATGGGAAAAGAGAAGTTTACTCCAAAACGGTATCAAATCCAAAGACTCTGTCTGATTCCGCGAATTCCAGGTTCGTAGGTGTTGCGAGAGACCGATGCATTCCATAGAACGCTGGTAATGGAACGCTAAAGAAGCAGCAGCTCGTGCACCTCGACCACGATCGAAACGGAGAGAAAGAAGGAAAAAGATCGAGAGAATGACTACAGCAACGTAAGTAGGGAGGGAAGAGGAGAAAGAAGAGGGATAGAAAAGAAAGAACATCGTTGGTGGGACAGAGAACCGTCAAGTGAAATAGAGAGAGATAGGAGAGTCGAGGCAAAGGTGGTCTTGCCGGCGTAAATGCCACTGGTTGGCATTATGCCGCTTGTTGCCTGGCCAGACCTTCGATGCACATCGAACACATCCCGATGATGATTGCCTGGCTGCTATAATCGTGATATCGTTCGTCTAAGATACACCATCAGAGAGGAGACGTTTAGCCAGGCGAGAACGTTTACTCGTCCGCTCCGAGGGAATTTCGTGTTGCGCGAGCGACCACACGACGACGATCGACGACAACCACGAGGACGGCCATGGCCTATTTACCTCTGGCAGAGTCACCAGATACCACCGTGCCGATATTGGCCTTTTCAAACCTCCCTCCAACGTTCTTTCGCCGACCCCACCACGCAGCCACTATCCCGCAGGTTGCGTTTTTTATTCACCACCTACGCGACACGACGCCGCGAAAGGTTGCCGCGATGCCTGCGAGCTGATGATTCCACGGCTCGGCTCGGTAATTTCGCGAATTTTCGATTTACATTTAAATTCGAACATTTTGAATGCAGAATATAGATTCGAGAGAGTTGCTCGTTACGAGAGTTTCCTGTTGTGTTGCTTGTATCAATCGGATGACTAATATCGATCGATCGGTCATGGAAATCCCGAAATGGCCGACAACTGGGAAAATCCGTCACGGTCAACCTCCACCTTCGATCCACGAGTTTATTCGAGAGCGCGTTTTGACGTAATCGACCCGCGAACGGATCATAATCGAGGCAAACGGAATTGCGGCGGTACAAGGACATCCAGTGCGACGGTAGTGCATAACGTGGAACGGTTCAGGAGTCGGAGGAGAATTTTCGAGGCGGTGAGAAACCAAGTGCAAGGAAACGCCGCCGCCGCGTGGAGGGATCCGTGGAATGTCGAATTAAAGTCCGGTCTCTGAGCCACGATCTCGGATAGGAGAAGCGTTATTCCAGGTTAGCTAGACGCGGTCTACACACGACCAATGCGTACACGTTTCTATAGGAGTCTGTGACGACCGAGGTTCGAGGTGAACGAACCTCCGAATCTCCTGTACGGCCGTACAAAGTAAAAGACCGAAAAGGCCAATGGAAAAAAGTTGTAGAAGCTTTAAAAAAAAGAGTGGACGTTAGTAGAACGCGGCAGAAGATGGAGAACGACTATCTCGGAACATCCGACTGGCTAGAGAGGATAGAGAGGAAAGAGAAAAAGAATTGAAGAAGGTTGAAAAATAGAATGGAAGGATGGGGGAATGTCTGGCACGGGAGGAGAATACAGGGACCGCGTGTATCTGCTCTTTGTGTACAGGCAACGAGCGCGAGTTGTTCCTTTTCAGTCAGCGATCGTTTTGCTCCGCGCGATTATCGCGATTTAATGATCTAGCTCCGCGATATTAATAATCGTAATAACCGGCGCGGCTTATTAGCCACTTTTATTATACCACTTGTGTCACATTGTAACCAGTCAGCTCGCGTAAATAGTTCTATGAAGCGTAGAGTGGGGTAAGGGGATAAAAAGTGCCGTGTTTTTTTATTTTAAAAACCGTTGCTGCAAGCGTCGATGACGTTGTTCAAGGCTGACGTTTAGCTCTTTTTCATTTTCTATTTTTTCTTTTTTTTTTCTTCATTTCTTTTTTTAGCGAGAGTCCCCCGACGGCGAAATACGGCGGAAGAAACGGGGTAACGCGACGCGACGCTAGGATCAGCAGTTTAACGCTCGTGTAAACTCGTACGTGTTCACCGTGTTTCACGTGCTCGCGTGGCTACTCGCCGATAAATCATATCTGGCGTCGCATTACAGAAAGAAGAAGACAGACGGGTATAAAAAAAGAACAGACGTGAATCGATTAATTTCCGAGAGGAGAAACAAACTCGATATCGCTACTACAGATTGAAATTAATCGTCGATACGGAGAATAATCATTTCATTGAGCACGTGGTTTCGAGAAAAATCGTCGACTTTCTCTTTCGGTACGATTTCTGATGGATGACTGTGTATTAAATTCATTCATCGTGCTATTATGTGCGAAGCATACGATAGACAATAAAACATCTGTTTGCCTAAAGGCACAAAGAGGCATCATTTTTACATCTGACTGTTTATTATATCAGTATGAGAGATTTAAAGATATCGCGAGATGACTTTGAAGAAAGATCGATATTGACAAGGAAACGATCGGGAATTGGATGGAGCACTGGTCCCAGGCCAAATAAAGTCAAGCCTTAGTTTTTCGTCGCCGTATGTGCAAGTGTGTGCGCATGCGTCCGATACGTAGGTCGAAGAGGAGGAGGCGAAGGTGGAGGAGGAGGCATCGTATCGGCCAGTGTCCGAGCACGTAACCAAATTCAAATCCGGG